GAGGGTTCGCTCGCTAATAACGACGCTATTATTACGATACCACGGTTCATTAACATTTATCGGTAACGCAGCTGTTGTCTCGCCCGGCCTACTCGATGGCTATCGTTTAATTGGGGTCAGCCGATTAACTTGCGTTTAGCTCGGAATATACATCGCCGGCCAGAAAGAGGGTCACCCGCTTCATCATCGCCTCGATCATCGTCGATCATCGTCATCGTGATCGTTAGTAGGTCGGCGATATGCCGCGCCTCGCGTCGCGATATTTAGAATACAATTGAACATATATAATTGCTCAAAGAAAAAAAAAATAAGCAGCTAATGGAGATCATTTTTATCGTTACAGTACGTCTTAATGGACGAATATTCAGCGAGGTTTCAGTGATTTTACAGTTTAATTAATGACAATCTACAATGGGAATTCCTGGTAAATCATGTCATGATTATGTGGAATTTCAATTCAATTTCTGACGTATCGTAAGACAAGGTTGTATAATTTTAAACATCAAAAAAATATTATGTAACGCTCAAAACAGCTGCGCTCGAAAAGAGTGACATTTGAGTGAGGATAGACTTCCTTTTCACGTATCTCGCATCTGCTCGTGATACGCATATTTTAATTGGTTCGAAATCGCGGCGATGAAACATCGGCGCGATGTCATTAAGCGCGGCAAATGGGCGCAGCGATGACGGTGAATAGCAAACGCGCCGTACGATCGCTGTCGGTGAGACCGTGAAATCGTGCTTAGTATTAGCGACAGAAACCGCTGGCGCGCGTTTACAAATTCAAATTGCCGTGATGAATGGCGGCGCGATGACGGGTTGAGCGACGGGACGAGCGTAATGACAAATACACGCCGCGATAGTAATTCCCCGTGACGTTCCGCAGGAGGAATCCTTCGCGCGACCGTAATAATCGATAATTGATCGAGGAGGCCGTTCCTCCTCGGGGAAGCGCGTTTCCGCGAGCCTTCCATCCTCACAGCGACGATTATCCGTATCATCAGAAAGCAATTATGCAAATTCAATGAAATGACGAGTAACGTGGAAAACCATCGCGGAACAGATTGTCTCATCGTCCTGAGATCGACCCGAGATTAGAACACGGGCTTTGCGCGAATCGTGGAATAAATCGTTTCAATAATTTACGCGCGGCCGCACGGTTGACTGCCAAGGACGGGAATCGCCGAGGCGATCAGAAAATTGGATCTTCCGATCCCGATCCTGCAGAGATACGCCATTAATAATCCTCTCCCTTGCTCTCATCCTGTCGACCGTACCCCGCGCGAAAGTTCATTTCACTTTCGTATCAGGTGGAGGGGGGGTGGGGGAGACAGGGAGGGTAAATCGACGGTCCAGCTCGCAAATAATTCGAGAATCTCCGATGGCTATGGCCGATTACGAGCGAGAGAGTGGCTGATTTACGCCGGTGTAATTAAACGAATTAGCCACACGGCCGGCCGGCGAAATAAGAGCGCGCGACCGGCGCGGCGCGGCGCGACTCGCGAGAGAGCATCCCGGGAATGCTACTCGTTATACCGAGGCGATTTCGCGGGGGATAAACGGCTCGTTTCAAAAGTCACGCTCCCGGCCGCGCCCGGCGTGCGTGCAAAGCGCCGCGAGAGATACGGATCTGTTTTTAATTTCGTCGGCCGCGCGAAAGTTAGAGCTCGAAAAGCGCGCTCCTGCAGCGCACCGTCGGTCGCGACGACGCTGATCGCGAGAATTAATTTATCCGCCGTGTGACGCATGCACGCTTCGATTTCTACGGGGGAATTTCTACGCGGTGGAGGGGGGGAGGGGCAGAGACGGGAGGAACGAGATGTACGCGATCCGACGGGAGAACTCCGCCGGCTTTAGTAAGAATACGACTCCTTCATTTACGTGGCCCGTTGATTTGCCGCCGACGGGGTCTTATCCCGAGGGCAATTACCGCCGGTTATTCTCTGCCGAAGGGAGAGACTGCAGCATCCATTATTTTTAACCCCGCGACGCTGGCGTGGCGCGGCGCGGCGCGGCGCGGCACGGCGCGGTTGGCTCTCCCCGGATTCAATTCCGCGGAGCGCACGGGATGGAGGCGTAATGCCTGTTTTACTCGCGCGCCCCATTCGTCCGGCCGTATACCGAAGACAGGTAAGAGCAGGCTTTGTTTCGAAAGCAATCGGTCTTCCGCGGGATCTCCCACGACCGCGCCGGGCACCGCCGCCGCCGACGATTCATGACAGAACAAATTACAGATCGGCAGAAAAAGACCATCGTCGGCTCGTTCGCGGCTTACCCTCCCTTTGGCCCTACCCCTACGCGCGGGCGCGCGCGCGCGCTCGCGCGCGATACCAAGTCGTGAGTCGCAAATTAATGGCGGCCATAATTTCGGCCGATAGTCGGCCGATGATGATGTATCGTTGCTAAATGCAACGGCGGAGTCGCCACGCCGCCGATTATTCACGGAATGTTAGCCGTAATCTCTTAATTGCCCGCGCGAGGTCGTCGATGATCGCTCTCAAAATCATCGGCGGAGGAAGAGTACAACGTGAAAAAGCAGCTCTCAGTCTTTTTGAATTTAAAAATATGACTTTCCAATATACAAATGTCTCATTCACGCACAATTATATCAAAGCTCACGGGCTGCTGTTGAGCAATAAATATCAATAAGAATTCTAAATTCATCGGACTGTTGATAATTACTGCACGGAAAGAACGATTTTGTTGAAAGGTCTAAAAATTTTGCTAAATACAGATCTGAAAATAATTTTTTATTGAATCATCAAAATAATTTGTTGGAATGTTAAAACTGATAAGCATAGCTATAAAACGTTTTGATATTCTAGCAATTATTTTGACTTTTGTACAAAATTATTTTGATTATTGAACAAAAATTATTTTCAGATTTGGATTCAGCAAAATTGTTCTTTCCGTGTACTTATAACGACTTTAAAATAATTTTAGTTTCCGTTTTACTTGGTACAGACCGTATTACAGCAGCCAAAAAAAACTTCAACTTTTCACAACAAGTACCTACTTCGCGGTACTTATTTGCCCGAGTGTTCCGACTGCTTTCCTTACGAAGTTCCGGGAATCTAATTTACGGGCGTCGGGTTCGCGGGCCGAAGTAAGTCTCGTGGATCGTCCTCGGGGAACGGGAAACGGGACGCGATATAACGAGACGGAGCGCGGCCGAGATTACGACTCGGAATCGACGGAAATACGGCGTGTCTCGCGGGGCTGCTTTCGACTGACTTATTTCGACCCGTTAGCCTAATTTCTCATTCCCGCGCCAAGGACGACCAGAACGACTTCTGTTCTCTGCAACGTTCGGTGCAGTCACACGCCGGGGGTAGACACGCGGTCGCGTCCACGTCGCGTATATACCGGTTATTATCTTTTCGCATTTTTCGGTCGAGATTATTCTCGAAACGAATGGCCCTCTTAAGCCTCCAGACCGGATCATTAATCTGGGTTCGAGGATGGCCGGGCGGGCACGTCGGTGAGGAGTGCAGGATGGAGCGTCTCTCTACAAAGACCTTATAGCTGCGCTCGTGTGTGCCATCTCCACAATCGCTCTTTCACGGGAGTGATTTAAATAAAGGGTAAAGGACACTTCAAGGCTGACGGCAATTCTGTTCAATTTATGCGCGCGGATCCAATATATAACCCCTCCTCCCTCCCTTCGCTTTTTTCTATTTTACGGCGGCGAGCCGTCGGGTAAGAACGAGATAAGTTTACACATTAATCAAAAGAGTGGAAACTGCTTCTCGAGATGCTGTACCGGCTGATCCACAAACGCGAAATCAATTGAAACGTTAAAAAACGAAACAGCTGCTCTGACCATCTCTTTAGACCGTTAATTATTTAAAGGAAGAGAGAGAGAGAGAGAATGTCATTATTAAATTTATTATCATACATCAGAATAGTTTTATTAACGCTGTTGAAACCTCCCGAAGAAAAATCTTCCAAACGAAAATTGAAGAAAAGCCGCAACGGTATTATAATACTGTCCGCGAGTATCGATCGCCGAGGGGACGAGAAAAATATGCTCACGATCAAGGGATCGCAGTCACGTCAATTCGAATCCTGCTTTTGTGACGCTGCCGTCGAGCAAACGACGTTCCTTGAGGGACAGTAATGAATTCTATTCTGGCGCCCGTTCATGCGTAAATCAATTCTGACGGGTTGAAAGAGTTTCCGCGTCCGCATCGGCACCAGGAAGCGGAAACTCAAGATGTACCGGTGTCGGGGTCATTTATAGCAAACGAATGTTCTCTGTGTACACGCGGAGACGCCGCCTGCGCCGAGACGTTTGCCGATGCGATGTTCGGTAGGTAGGCCGGCTGATGCATGCACGGCAGGCCACCGTAGTGTACACAATCGCGGCTACGACCTCCCGGTCGCACTCTTGCCGCGCGCACGCAGGCCTCCGAGAGAGCCACCTCTCAGATCTTGATTCACTGCCTGGCATAACGCGCGGATTCTGACAGTTCGCGATACTCGAGCTCGTGCGCCTGCCATATTTTTCGTACTGTTCCCGCTCCGTTATCCGTGAAATAATACCGTCATTCGACTCTCTTTCTCTCTTTCTCTCGCTTTCTCTTTCATTCATCTTCGACAATAAATTTGTATCGATACCGTAAGTGTAATTCTTCGTACGTGAGAATTAATTTGCTATTTTACAAAACGCGAATTGCTAGGCAAATGTCATGCAAAATCTTTTGCTACAATTACTACAATTATATCATTAACTAATTTTAATTAAAGATATTATCTTTCATTAAAAAGACCCGATGGACGCGGTTTAAAATAAAAAATGTAGAACTTGTTTTATCGGCAAATCGTATTATTTAAAGTAGCGTAAAAAGATAGGAATCCATATCAATACGGTAAATGGATTTCGTGGCGGTAAAGCGGCTTTTTCACGCGTAGCGAAAAGAATAAATAATCGGTTAAAAGGATTCAATAAATGGATTCAATAAATTCCCCTTCAATATCAAATTTCAAGCTTCACTCACATGTTCGTCCACAGAATACGTCAGCTCCCCGTCGTCGTAGAGAACGAACCACCTCCTCTGCCATCTCTGCAACACAAAAATCATATTGACTGTTAGAAGAGATATTTAAAAGGCTCACTATATTTAAATATGAAGATATTGAAAGAAAATCTTTAAATAATATATATACCTTACATTTAATAATTAAAATTTAATATTTAGATTTTACGTTAAATCTCTGTAATTATTATATAAATAATTATCACAATTGCCGCAGTTGTTTTATAAAAAAAAAATAGATAATACTGCGACAGCGATGGGAAGAATATGGATGGAGAATTTTCCGCGAGGCACTACGCAATTTACGCAGAAACGGCGCATCCTACGTCGAGAGAAAACAATTTCGCACGACTCAAGGTTGAACCTGTTCGATTCACCTTAAAGAATCTCTAAGGCCTCCCGCTACGTCAGCTGGACAATTAGCACGCGGCAGCCGTTAATTAGAAACAAAGTCGGCGGAGAGGAAAAAGAAAGAAGAAGCGCGCAGCCAACGAGCGCAGCAGCCGCGGCCAGCGGCGGATCGTCACGATTTCTCTTTCGTTGCTGCAGCGCGCTGCGGGCGTATACATATATAGACGCCGCGAAAAACTTTTCGCGCCGCCGCTTTCGGACACTCTTTCTCGCGCTTTCGTGTTCGAATTTACACCTTCGGGTCTTCGAGCTTATCTTCAAAACTTCATCTTCACAAATTTCTCCTAGAAAAATTTCCTTCGTTCTCGCGCGTGGAGGCGCGAATGCAGAACGCACACGACGTATCTCTCGAGCATTGTTTTCATCACATGCAAATCTCCTTACGGTTAATAAAAGCCGCCGCTTTCACCGCGCGCGCATTACCCGGCGGAAACGCAGCTCTTTGGGATTCGTTACGTACGTAGATTCGTACGTGGCAACAGCCGCGAATTTGATGGCGAACGCACTTCGAAAGAATCGCGACGTTTATAGAGCGAGAACTTTACACGCTATACGATTGTATGCAAATGCACACAACGTGTAAAGTTTACGTCCGACCGCATGCACAGTTATGCGATACCGGCCATATCGATTAACCTCCTTGTCTACCATAGTGATGGGCACGATGTCCCGCGGGCGAACGCATTGACACAGAAAATGTGAAACGCTGTTTCACAATTCTTACTTTGTGAGCAGAGAAAAATATACGACGAGCAGAGTGGATAAAATCGCTTAACTTACGTGTAAAGAATCAATATACATATTAATATATACAATATATATTTTTCTTGCAAAATTACTCAAATTATTTCCGTAAAAATTTCCATTCGGAAATTACTCCTGTGTCATTTGCAATTTACTTTATTTTCACCGTATCGCGTTTTCACCTTGAATTCCTAAATAGCGTCGTTCATACGTGAATAATATTTCAGAGAAGAAACCTTGAAAGAGAGACGCAACGAAAACATTGCTGTCGTTGATGCATGTGGGACGCGATAGAGAATGTGCCATTGAAAACATGCCATTTCAGTGCGTAATACGAATCTAGGTCTGTATGCAGGTATATCGGGGACCGATTTCGAGGTTGCGGTGCGATGCAGCCGCGTCCGAATCCTGGACAAAAGCGTCGTGTTGCTTTTGTCCGCGAACGGACAAAACGTCGTCGTCGCCATGCATAGAGTAGACGCATAGGTATATACCGTTGCAAAATCGCTGGACGAGGCGGCCGGGGAAGAGTAGATATCAGCCTACACGAGGCGGCGGGTATCTTCATCTGGTAATTATTCACCATGGGGGCCGAAGCACCATGGACCAAGCCGTACGTGGACCTCGGCACGTGCGTGGGAAGATCTCTCACGGGAGGAAGAGGAAGAAGAAGGAGCGAGGTACGAACAATGCGCGAGAGGATTGAGACAGTACGATGGAGAGAAAGCACGGAACTCTCCTAGCTGAAACTCGTAATCGCTTCCTCCTATAACGCATGTGTCCTATAAGAACCGCGATAGACTTTTTTTTAAGGCGTATCAATAGACGCGAGCCTCTGGATTTGGATATTCTGTTACGATATTGTCCACGGTCAGAAAATCCCATTTTGCTTATCTTATTCACAAGATTTCAAAATTGTTTATTATCGACATTTTATTACTATATATAGATTTTCTTTTTTATTTAAGTGCAAAGATTAATTACTTTTGATTATTGTATAGTATATACATATATCTGTTAAATATGATTGTTATCCACCGTCGTATCATCAAAGATATTATTATCGCAAACAACTACAACAATATAATTGAATATATATTTCAAAACAAATGCATATAGATTTTGTCTTATTTTATGTAATCAAAGAACTTCTAAATCTTTGCAAGGCATTAAATACTTTTTTAAAGTGCACATCGTAATTTCATACATCGAGAAACCCGCATATCCTGACCTACCGCATCTTCCTGGTTTGCTACAGGCTGTTAATACCGCCTACGGATTCGGGCCTTTCTGGTTCGACCAGTTCCAATCAACCGAAACAGTTATTTAAATTCCTAAAGTCCAGTGAAATAACTAATACATTGTATGTTGCAAATATAAACGAGGAATCTTCGAGATATATCTTCCAAAAGAGAACGGGAATCGTGTGTTAATGAAAATATTACAGTTAATCAAAAAATTTAACATAAAACATGAAACGTGTTAACTGAGATAATAATAAAAAAATTAATTTTTCTTATCTTAATCTTAATAATTTCTTAATCTTTCTTAATCTTAATTAAGAAACAGATATATATTTTATAGATTAATTTAAAGTACAATACAATATGTGAAAATTATTTCATGACGACAAGCTAAGTTTTAAGATCAACTGACTCAACTGTGCCGTACCATATCCTGACCATATCGTGTACAGAGAAAGAGACAAAAAACTCTAATATTTCAATAAAAATATATAAATTTCGACGTAGCTCTAGCCACGTGTTCTATCTGAGAAAGGAAAGGGGGGGAGTTACAGTCTATGGAAGGGATCAATGCTGTCTGTATTTCCTTCATTTGCCGCTACGAGATTATGCCGCTACGTATTTTCTCGTAAGTAAAATTCGGCTCATTGTCAGAATCATATATAAGGAGTGACAAATGTCTTACTTCTACGGTTCTTCTATCTACTTGGGAACGATTTTCCAACAAAACTATTTTTTTTTACCAAGGCGGGTGCTTGGAGCTTGCAAATAAAAGAAATACGGAAAGCATTCGTTTTGATCATGTATTACATATGTATTACATATATAGTACAAAAGTTAATACTGTACTTTCTTCTGCTAAGAATCCCGACGAGAATAAATGCGATTATCACGAGAAATGGGCATTTTTCATCGCAAGATGGATTTCAACGTATCAGTCTGCTAGTCACGAAGATCATATATACCCTTCGCCAGCCGGACGTAAGAATCTGCGATTTCCCATGCTTGTATTTTACGACGCCGCCAATATAATACCGCGTATCCGCGCGATCGCGATTTCGAACGATGCGTGGATTCCCCGCGTTTGTACGAATCGAGGTCTAAATCCTGATTTTATCGCGAGCCATTACACGCTGCATCTTCACTTTCGCGCGCACGTTAATCCCTATAGAGATGCGTTCGATTCACGTATAGCGTAATTGGTTGCGTAGACTCGCATTATGATCCTATTAACGTTTATTTACGATTACGATTAAATCTTTACTCATCAAGAGGATTAAAAAAAAATTAAAAAGAAAGCGTGCATCACATGCCGGGATTGTCAAGTATCTCCAAGTTTTTCTTTTCGATAAGCAGGAGAAAAGCTGACACGATTTCTTTTTTTTTTACGCCTCGTACACGTACATCAATCTGGGAGAGCGCTGCAGGATGTTCGTGACGATCTCCGTACAACGCGGTACCGAATGTCTCGATTTCCCTCTTACGACTTCCTGGTCATCCACCGATCGGGCCTGGGTATCTTCGTCGTCGGCTCGCTATTCGTGTTCCGACTCACGACCCTGTCGGCATGGCCGCTAGCGTGCTAGCGTGCGCTACCTACCTATGCGGATGCCCGTCGTTGTTGAGGTTGCCGAAGGGACCGACCACATTGATCCCCGACCACAACGGTAACGTGACCCGACGCTATTCCCTTGGCGATCCCGTATCGACGGAATCCGCGATTCGGCCGATCCTATTTCCCGACCCCGCCCGCTCTGAATAACCGCGGTCGGGAAAGAAACGTATAGCAGATCCTTTCTAAGGATTCGTGGTACGCCCCGATACCGTGGATCACATTCTTTGTCCTTCTACTCGCATGAATAGCAATGTAGAATGACAAGCGCTCAGAAGTCACGCGTAAGATCTTTTAATTCTTAATAAATTAGATGAAGTTTCAATAAGATTAATAAGCTAGAAAAGCTATTCCAAATGTAGAAAATTAAAATGTATAAATTAAAGCTGTTAGTAATCAATATGTCAAATGCTTCTTTTTACATATTTTCAGCGGAATATGTATAATCAATCCCAGAGAAAATTTCACGATCCCAGAGAAAATTCTCGTTCTAGATTTAATTAATAATTATAATTATTATTTTTTATTGAATATCTTTATATACTTATATTAAATTTCGCTACGATTTCTTTGAAAGAATTTATAATTATCGATTAAATGATTGACGATCAGATGCATCACTGATGCTCAATGACTTCGATTTCTCGATGCTTGGCGTAGTTATGATGTAGTCACGGTATCCAGGTTGTGGAGCATACTCCGGGAATGCTGTTTAATCTTCAGCCACTCGAAACGCAACAAGCCAGTAATAAAGAGTCATGCTCGCGATAGCGTGACTAATATTTTCGCGCGAATGAATTCGTTTCGCCGACTGGAAATAAGAAATTCACGTTCCACGTGTCGCGTACGCGTAATCCCGAAAGTGACTATAAACAAATAAAAAATCATTTCACTTATCGTTTCAACGGCATCAAACAGATTTCACAATTTATTTTTCTATTAATTATTCCATCGAAATTGCTCAATTATAATTATTATTCATATCAACTAATCCAATTTTATAACATTCTCTCTTA